AGTGATGGGGAGGGGGAGGGGAGGTGGAGGGGGAAGGGGAGGTGGTGGGGAATGGGGAGGTGGTGGGGAGGGGGAGGGGAGGTGGTGGGGGAGGGGGAGGGGAGGTGGTGGGGAGGGGGAGGGGAGGGGAGGGGGAGGGGAGGTGGAGGGGGAAGGAGAGGTGGTGGGGAGGGGAATGGGGAGGGTGGTGGGGAGGGGGAGGGGAGGTGGTGGGGAGGGGGAGGTGGTGGGGGAGGTGGTTGGTAGGTGGAGGGGGAGGGGGTCAGTCAGCTGCCCGCCGCCGGCAGAACCGCCACGAGATGCTGGCCGTGGAGCCCATCAACGAGCTGCTGCGGGACAAGTGGCGCAAGTTCGGGGCCGTGTCCTTCTACATCAACGTGGCCTCCTACCTGTGCGCCATGGTCGTCTTCACCCTCACCGCCTACCACCAGCCGCTGGAGGGCACCGTGAGTCCGCCGGCCGGCCCGGGGAGCGGGATGTGGGGAGGAGGCGGGGCTCCCGGCCTGGAGTCGGGGGCTGGTGAGGACTGTGTCCCCCCGCAGCCGCCGTACCCCTACCGCACCACCGTGGACTACCTGCGGCTGGCCGGCGAGGTCATCACGCTCTTCACCGGCGTCCTGTTCTTCTTCACCAACGTGAGTGCCGGCCCCGCCGCCGCCGCCCGGCCCGCCACCCCTACCCTCCTCCCGCTCCCTCCCCCCCTCCTCCCGCTCCCTCCCCTCTCCCATCCCCTCCCCCTCCCCCCTCCCTCCCCTCCCTCCCCTCCCTCCTCCCCTCCCTTCCCCCCTCTGCCCTCTGCAGGCTCCGCCCTCCCCCCCCTGCCCTCTGCGGGCTCCGCCCTCACCACCCTCCCCTCCCCCTTTCTCCCCTCCCTCCCTCCCTCCCCCCCCGCCCCTTGCGGGCTCCGTTCTCCCCCCTCCCCCCTCTGCCCTCTGCGGGCTCCGCCCTCACCGCCCCCCCCCCCCCCCCCCCAGATCAAGGACTTGTTCATGAAGAAATGCCCGGGCGTGAACTCCCTCTTCATCGACGGCTCCTTCCAGCTGCTCTAGTGAGTGGGCGGGAAGGGGGGCTGGGCTGAGACCATCGGGCGGGGTGAGGGGGGAGGCTCCCAAGGGCAGCGAGCGCGCCCAGCCGGCCACCTGAGCCCAGGTCGGGCGAGCAGCGGTCTGCTGCCTGCGAGGGCTCCGGCTGCCCGTCCACGGCAGCGTGGACAGCGATCCAACCCGCTGGGACTGCCCGCAGCGCCCGGGACGGCGCCGGCTGGGTCTGTGTGCGGTGCTGTGGATTGTTGATGTCCGCCCGGCACTGGGCCTGCAGGTGGCAGTCTTCCCTTCCCATGAGCTGGAGAGCGAGCAGTGAGCTCCACGGCCACACCTCCCCCCTCACACCCCCTCACACCCCCCCTCATTCCCCTCACACCCCCTCACACCCCTCTCACACCCCCCCTCACCCCCCTCACACTCCCTCACACCCCCCTCACACACCCCATCACCCCCCTCACACCCCCTCACACCCCCCACCACCCACACCTCCCCCCTCACACCCCCCTCACCCCCCCCTCACACCCCCTCACACCACACCTCCCCCCTCACACCCCCTCACACCCCCCTCACCCCCCTCACACCACACCTTCCCCCTCACACCCCCTCACACCCCTCTCACACACCCCCTCACCCCCTCACACCCCCTCACACCCCCCTCACACACCCCCCCACCCCCCTCACACCCCCTCACACCCCCCTCACACAACACCTCCCCCCTCACACCCCCCTCACACCCCCCTCACACCCCCCTCACACCACACTCCCCCCTCACACACCCCCTCACCCCCCTCACACCCCCTCACACCCCCCTCACACAACACCTCCCCCCTCACACCCCCCTCACACTCCCCTCACACCCCCCTCACACCCCTCACACCACACCTCCCCCCTCACACCCCCTCACACCCCTCTCACACACCCCCTCACCCCCTCACACCCCCTCACACCCCCCTCACACACCCCCTCACCCCCCTCCACACCCCCTCACACCCCCCTCACACAACACCTCCCCCCTCACACCCCCCTCACACCCCCCTCACACCCCCCTCACACCACACTCCCCCCTCACACCCCCCCATCACCCCCCTCACACCCCCTCACACCCCCCTCACACCCCCCTCACACCATACCTCCCCCTCACACCCCCCTCACACCCCCCCTCACCCCCCTCACACCCCCTCACACCCCCCTCACACCACAACTCCCCCCTCACCCCCCTCACACCCCCTCACACCCCCTCACACCACACCTCCCCCCTCACACCCCCCTCACAACCCCTCACACCACACCTCCCCCCTCAACCCCCCTCAAACCCCCCTCCCTCACACCGCGCCCCCCTTCATGTCCACACCTCCCCCCTCACACCCCCCCTTACACCACACCTCCCCCCTCACACACCCCCTCACACCACACCTCCCCCTCACACCACACCTCACCCTCACACCCCCCCTCACACCCCCCCTCACACACCCCCACACCACACCTCCCCCCTCACACCCCCCTCACACCCCCTCACACCACACCTCCCCCCTCACCCCCCCTCAAACCCCCCCTCCCTCACACCGCGCCCCCCTTCATGTCCACACCTCCCCCCTCATACCCCCCCTTACACCACACCTCCCCCCTCACACCGCACCTCCCCCTCACACACCCCCTCACACCACACCTCCCCCTCACACCACACCTCCCCCTCACACCACACCTCCCCCTCACACCCCCCCTTACACCCCCTCACACCACACCTCCCCCCTCACACCACGCCCTCCCTCCCGGCCACACCTCCCCCTCACACACCCTTTTACACCCCCTCACACAGCCCCCCCTCCCGGCCACATCTCCCCCTCACACCCCCCCTCACACCACACCTCCCCCCTCACACTGCGCCTCACCCTTTACACCCCTCCTTACACACCCCCTCACACTGTGCCCCCCTCACCTCCCCCTCATACCGCGCCCCCCCTCCCGGACACACCTCCCCCCTCACCCCCCCCTCACACCGCACCCCCCCTCATGTCCACACCTCCCCCCTCACACCGCGCCCCCCCACGGCCACACCCCCTCACACCGCGCCCCCCCTCATGTCCACACCTCCCCCCTCACACCGCGCCCCCCCTCATGTCCACACCTCCCCCCTCACACCGCGCCCCCCCTCATGTCCACACCTCCCCCCTCACACCGCGCCCCCCCACGGCCACACCCCCTCACACCGCGCCCCCCCTCATGTCCACACCTCCCCCCTCACACCGCGCCCCCCCACGGCCACACCCCCTCACACCGCGCCCCCCCTCATGTCCACACCTCCCCCCTCACACCGCGCCCCCCCTCATGTCCACACCTCCCCCCTCACACCGCGCCCCCCCTCATGTCCACACCTCCCCCCTCACACCGCGCCCCCCCACGGCCACACCCCCTCACACCGCACCCCCCCTCATGTCCACACCTCCCCCCTCACACCGCGCCCCCCCTCATGTCCACACCTCCCCCCTCACACCGCGCCCCCCCACGGCCACACCCCCTCACACTGCGCCCCCCCTCATGTCCACACCTCCCCCCTCACACCGCGCCCCCAAAAGGCCACACCCCCCCTCACACCGCGCCTCCCCTCACACCACACCTTCCCCTCACACCGCGACCCCCCTCATACCGCGCCTCCCCCCTCACACCGCGCCCCCCTCACACACCCCTCACACCACACCCCTCCTCACACCGCGCCCCCCCTCGGCCACATCCCCCCTCACACCACGCCCCCCCTCATGTCCACACCTCCCCCCTCATACCGCCCCCCCTCATGTCCACACCTCCCCCCTCATACCGCGCCCCCTCACGGCCACACCCCCCTTCACACCGCACCCCCCCACGCGGCTCCCAGGGGGTCTCGTTGGGAGCTGGCAGGCTCAGGCCCTTGCCCCCAGGAATTGTCAGTTATGTCCGTTATGGAGCTCCTGGTTAACAGGATGCGGGAGCCGGAGCCCGCCGCGCACCCTCCGGGTTTCCAGAGCTCCGGGTGTCTGGGTGCCGGGAGGGCTCGGGCTCTCCCCTCAGGGCCTCACACACACACACACACGCACACACACACACGCACACGCACACACACGCACACACACACACACCCCCGTCCGTGCCGCCTGCAGCTTCATCTACTCGGTGCTGGTGATCGTCTCGGCGGCCCTCTACCTGGCGGGCGTGGAGGCCTACCTGGCCGTCATGGTGTTCGCCCTGGTGCTGGGCTGGATGAACGCCCTGTACTTCACGCGCGGCCTGAAGCTCACGGGCACCTACAGCATCATGATCCAGAAGGTGCGGGGCGGGGGCCTGTGTCCGCGCCCCAGGAGCCGCGGACGGTGCCGTGCACCGCGGGCAGGGCCGCGGCGGGCCTGGGACCCGGAGGGCCGGGGCGTGGGGAGGGTTGGGTCGGAGGCCTCGGGAGAGCGAGAAGCCGCGTGTCTCACCCTGCCTCCGTCCTCCGCGGCGTCTGCAGATCCTCTTCAAAGACCTGTTCCGCTTCCTGCTGGTCTACCTGCTCTTCATGATCGGCTACGCGTCCGGTGAGCTGGGCGCCGGGGCTGCGGGGTGTGTGTGTGTGTGTGTGTGCGCGTGTGTCTGAGGACCGGAGGGCAGTGATGTGGGGAGCATACGCAGCTGTGCGGGTCCTCACGGCCTGCCATGGCCGGGCTGAGGCCTCCCCACCCGCCTCTTAGCTCTCCGACAAGCCTGGGAGGCAGCAGCCTTCGCCGTCTCCTCCCGCAGACCCGGAGACAGGCTGGACCGCGACGTGACTTGCCCAGCGAGAGAGACTGGCATGTCAGCTGTTACCGCGGAGACACCGATGAGCTGCGGGGGCTACAAACAGCCGCCATGATATACCCTCCGGCTGGCTCACAGGCCAGGTCGGCTCAGCTGGGGGCTGGGCAGGCGGCCTGGGCTGGCAGGCGACCTCCGGGGGGGACTTTGCTGTCCCCTGTGGTCACTCCTCCAGCGGCTCCCCGGGGCTGGGCGCAGGGTGGCCTGGGGGTCTCAGACGCCAGCGGAAGTGTCCAGGGTCACCTCCTGGCCCGGCATCACGCCCGCCCCCTCGACCGGCCAAAGCAGGACTGAGCGGCCTCGGTCGGAGGTGGGGACAGACCCTCCGCAGACGGCGCTGCAGAGCCACACACAGGGGCGTGGCCACAGGGGAGAGTGAGTTTGCGTAAGGGATCTATCAGCTCAGGTCGTTTTATTTGTTTATTACTGATTTCAGAGAGGAAGGGAGAGGGAGAGGGAGAGAGAGAAACATCAATGATGAGGGAATCATTGATCAGCTGCCTCCTGCATGCCCCCTCCTGGGGATTGTGCCCACAATCCAGGCATGTGCCCTGACCGGGAATCGAACCCTGACCTCCTGGTTCATAGGTCAGTGCTCACCACTGAGCCACACCGGTCGGGCAGCCCAGGTCCTTTTTAAAGCTCAATATCGGTTTCTCTGTGATGTTATGGTGCTGAGGGACCCCAGCGGGATAGGCTGGGAAGGGACAGGAATGGGGAGGGACAGGAATGGGGAAAGGGACCAGGAGTGGGGATATGGACCATGCCTTTGGGCTGGTCCCGAGGGGGCGGCTGGTCGCCCATTCAGTGCCCGGCATCCGAAGGGAGTGGCCGGCCTCACTCACCGCCTCACTCCCTCTGAGGGGCTGGCGGGGACCGTCCTGCCGCGGTGTGTGATGGCAGCGCTGTGTAGCCCGGAGGGCGGGCTATTTGGGAACCAGAGCTGCACCCTTTGCTCGGGGGAGGGACCGGGTGCAGGGCCTCCCAGTGACGGACTGAGAAGAACTAGACAGAGTGTTGGGTTCCATGGTGGTTTGGGATTTGGGTCACGTCCAGCCCCACTGCATCCTCATGGTAGAAACTGAGGCAGAAGCCCCGTGGCCCCGGCGTCTGCTGCGGGACCCCGGCTGCCCAGCCTGAGGTGGACAGGACTCAGGCGGCACACGTGCTCGTGTTCTGCACGTTCGTGCCGTGGCAGGCATTGCCTGTGGATCACAGAACTGCTTTTCTGATGAGTCCAGACAGGACTTCAGAATCCTTCTCAGCACACATCCCAGCGGCCACTGCGCACCTCCGTGGGCGGGCACGAGCTGTGACCCAGGCGGAGGGCATGACGGCCCTCGATGCCCCTGAGCGCAGGGCTCGGCCCCATGCCCGCTGCCGGGGGTCGGGCCGTGGCTGCTGCTCGCGTGGGGTGGCTCTGAGCTGCCCGTGGGGCTGGGATGGGCAGTGCCGGCAGCAGAGGCGTCTGCAGGGTAAGCCTCGGCGAGCGGGCTTCTGGTGGGGGCAGGACGGCGCCGGGCCCGGCCCCTCCTCTGAGCTGTGAGCAGAGTCCGCCCTGGGCTCGCACCCCGGGCTCCGGGGCCTTCGGGAACGCTGGGCTGACGCGGCTTCTCAGCCTCGTGCCTGTGGGGCCGAAGGATTCTCTCCTGGGCTGGCCTGTGGGTGAGGGTTTGCCACGTCCCTGGCCTCTGCCGAGTACACGCCAACGGCACCCCGCCCCCCAGCCGCGGCAGCCAGACACGCCTCAGGGCACTGCAGATCCCCGGGAGGGCCACCCCAACTGCTGGACCGCCTCCTCATTGAGTTCTGGAAGGAGCGGTGGCCTTGGATCCCGGAAGAGCCTGGCCTGGCTGCCCTGCTGGGAGCCCGGGGCTGAGCTCTCCCATCACCAGCCTCAGGTCTCCCCTCCCCCAACGGGAATGACCCCCCCACACACACACACTCAGAGCATCTGACTCAGCGAGTGCCTCCCGCCCCCGCAGCCCTGGTGTCCCTGCTGAACCCGTGCGCCAGCATGAAGGCGTGCGGCGAGGACCAGGCCAACTGCACGGCGCCCACGTACCCCTCCTGCCGCGACAGCGACACCTTCAGCACCTTCCTGCTGGACCTCTTCAAGCTGACCATCGGCATGGGCGACCTGGAGATGCTGAGCAGCACCAAGTACCCCGCCGTGTTCATCGTGCTGCTGGTCACCTACATCATCCTCACCTTCGTGCTGCTGCTCAACATGCTCATCGCCCTCATGGGTGAGACTGTGGGCCAGGTGTCCAAGGAGAGCAAGCACATCTGGAAGCTGCAGGTGAGCCGGCCCCGTCCGCCTATCCCCTCCCCCCTCCCCCCGGGGGGCCCTGGACCCACCGCACCTCCTCAGCCTCCCCTCCGGGGGATTCCGGCGATCCTGGGAGGCCGAGGCCTGGGCCCACACAGTTCCTGAATCCGGGTTTTTGCGGTCACTGCCCCCCGAGGTCCAGGCAGCGGCACTGCAGGCCAAGGAGGTGGCGTGGGGAGAGATGGGACCCCAAGGCCACCCTCCCAGTCGGGCCTCGGCACCGTCCAGACCGGCTCTGGATCCTCACTCCCGGGGCCTCAGTGTCCCCACGGGGTGAGACTGGAACGATGCAGACGGGCAGCCTGTGGATTGGATTTGACCAGCAATGATTTATTTTTTCCTTTATCCATCAGAAAAACTTAATGCAGAGTTCTAAAGCTAAGAGATTCATGTAAAAATCCAGGCGTGGCCTTTCCTGGCAGGGTGGCCCACATCCTGCCGGGGCCGGGGGCCGGGGGCCGGAGGCGGCTGCCCCTTTGTGTGGGCTGTGCTCACTGTGTCCCAGTCCCTCCTCCTCCCCGGTGCTCCCCACGCTGAGGGGCGGCTGCTGTGCTGGTCCCGGGCTGGCCTTTCTCCTCAGGTCCCGCCTGCCTGTTTGTCCTGCGGGTCAGGGGTTCGGGTCAGTAGCTGTCTCCAGGTCGGTGGGAGCTGGAGGCCTGCGTCTTCGCCCCCCGCCTGCGTCACCCCTGCCCTCAGGGCGGTGGGGTCTCACCGGCCCGCGCCCTCCCCACAGTGGGCCACCACCATCCTGGACATCGAGCGCTCCTTCCCCGTGTTCCTGAGGAAGGCCTTCCGCTCCGGCGAGATGGTCACCGTGGGCAAGAACTCGGACGGTACCCCCGACCGCAGGTGGTGCTTCAGGTGAGGCAGCGGCCGGGACGGGGCGGGTCCTCCCGCGAGATCCTCCTTCTGGAGCCACAGGCCTGGAAGGTCCTGCCCGACATTCTGTTCCACTGGCCGAGGTTGGGCAAATCGGTTCACGTCTCAGCCTTGGTTTCCTCATCTGTGAAATGGGCACAGTGCTAACACCGCCCCGGCCCGCTGTGCGATGGGATGGGTCACGCAGGAGGCAGTAACTGCCCGTGCACCAGGGACACTGTCTCGGGCGTCACCCCTTTGACAAACAGCTGAGAGGGGGGAGGACCTGGCAGGTCCTGTTCTGGCCTGTTACCCAGAGGCCCAGCTTCTCCGGGGACCCCCGAGCCAGCCTCTCCTCAGGAACTGGCCAGCTCTGTACCCGGGGAAGGGGAGGGGCAGCCTGAGAGCTGTCATGTGTGGGGCCCTCAGCCGGGAGGTGGGCATGGCAGTAGCTCCCAGCTCATAGGCCAGCGGTCTGTCCTGTTTAGTTTGAACCCCGACCCGTTGATCAGCATTGGGACCTGGGCACAGTGACAGCCTCCGCTTCCTTGTCTGTGAGCTGGGAGCAGTGGGTCTATCTTCCTTGCTTGGTCCTAACATGTAGCACTTGCTCAAGAAATGGGGTTTGGGTAAAAGTAACAAAAATAATCTCCAAAAGGAAAAATCACGTTGAGACAGTTTGGACTCTGGAGTCTGTGACCTGCCTTCCCGAGGTGCCCCAGCACTGGGCGGAGGGGTGTTAAGGAGGGTGCCCCAGCGCTGGGGGAGGGGGGGTAAGAAGGAGGGTGTCCCAGCGCTGGGGGGGTAAGAAGGAGGGTGTCCCAGTGCTGGGGGGGGGGGTAAGAAGGAGGTGTCCTTGGCCGGGTGTGTGGCTGAGCCTGTGGTGCCACATGAGTGAACCTCAAACACGTCATGCTGAGTGAAAGCAGCCAGGCCCAGAGCCGTGTCCTCTGTGCCGCTCACTGACACGTCCCTGCACGGAGCGGAAAGGAGAGGCAGCGGGGGGGGGGGGGGGGAGGGGGATGGTGGTGGGGCGGGGGCGGGGCTGGGGCAGCTCATTTCTGTGTGGGGATAGAACAGCTTTGGGATCAGAGTGGTGATGTGCACAGCCTTGGGGATTTACTTAATGCCCGAGTTGTATGCTTAGAAATGGTCAGAATGCACAGGAGGAGGAGGGTGAGTGGGCTGCCTGGGGTGGAGCTCCCCTGACCCTCCCTGTGTGGCCGCCAGGGTGGACGAGGTGAACTGGTCGCACTGGAACCAGAACTTGGGCATCATCAACGAGGACCCGGGCAGGAGCGAGAGCTACCAGTACTACGGCTTCTCGCACACCGTGGGCCGCCTGCGCAGGGGTGAGCGGCCGGGCGGGGGCGCGGGGGCGCTGGGCGGTCTCCTCACTGAGAGCCTGAGCCCCTGTCCCTCCTGAGACCCAGTGGCCGGCAAGTGGAGGGGGAGGCCTGGGGGAGCTGACCGCGGAGTCCTGTGCCTGCCGGGCCTCCCTCCCGCACTGAGCCGGGAGGCGGGGAGGGTGCGGGCCAGCCTCGCCTGCCTGACTCTGAGGGCGCCGTGTGCTGTGTGTGCTGTGTGTGCTGTGTGTGCTCCGTGTGCTGTGTGTGTTCCGTGTGCGCCGTGTGTGCCGTGTGCACTGTGTGCTCCGTGTGCACTGTGTGCTGTGTGTGCTCCATGTGCTGTGTGTGCTCCGTGTGCGCTGTGTGCTCCGTGTGCGCTGTGTGCTGTGTGTGCTCCGTGTGCGCCGTGTGCGCCGTGTGCTCCGTGTGCTCCATGTGCGTCGTGTGCTGTGTGTGCTCCGTGTGCGCCGTGTGCTCCGTGTGCTCCGTGTGCGCCGTGTGCTGTGTGTGCTCCGTGTGCGCCGTGTGCTGTGTGTGCTCCGTGTGCGTCGTGTGCTGTGTGTGCTCCATGTGCACCGTGTGCGCCGTGTGCTCCGTGTACTCCGTGTGCACCATGTGCTCTGTGTGCTCCGTGTGCGCCGTGTGTGCGGAGCCCGTGAGGTGGGGCCATGAGACCCCTCGGAGCGCTGGGCAGGCCTGGCGCACAGTAGGCGCTCCTATAGGCACGTGCCCGCTCCCCCGCCCTCACCCTCGCCGCCCTCCCCAGATCGCTGGTCCTCGGTGGTGCCGCGCGTGGTGGAGCTGAACAAGAACTCGAACCCGGACGAGGTGGTGGTGCCTCTGGACACCGTGGGGAACCCCAGCGGCGACGGCCACCGGCAGAGCTACCCGCCCAGATGGAGGACTGATGACGCCCCCCTCTAGGGCTGCCGGCAGGGCCATGGCCCCAGCCCGAAGCCCCTCCCCTCCGCCCCATTTCCAGTCCGCCTGCATTTCAGCCACATGCTCTGACCCAGAGGCGAGGGCCCGGCGGAGAACGGAGGCCCCAGGACCCTCTCCCCCAGGCTCCTGCCCCCCCCCCCCCCCCCCCGCTCACTCCCATGGAGTCACGGAAGCCAAAGCCGGGCCTCCCGCCCCCGGGCCCAGCCCCTCCATTATTTATTGTTCTGCTCTCAGGAAAGCAGCGTCCCCCCTGGCCCCCAGGACCCTGGCAGAGGCCCAGGACCCTGCTCCAGGCCCGGGTGCACCGCCGGCCAGGCTCCGCCCGCTCCTGCGCCCCGGGCCGCACACGGGCCTCGGGGAGGGCTGGCCTGGGGGCGCCTCCCGGGGTCTGTGGGGGCTGCGTTCGCTGGTGCTCAATAAACGTTTGTTCTCTGATGTGGAGCTGTGGGGGCAATGAGGGTGTAACAGGCCCAGGTCCCAGGAGGGAGACGGGAGCTGAGAAGTGCCCGTGGCTGGGGGAGGGGAGGCGAGGGCAGTCGCAGTGGCCAAGGTGGTGGTGCGGGTGAGGCAGGGGCCGGACAGGAGATGAGGGGTGATTGGAGTGGTGAGGGGGAAGGTGGAGAAGGGACGGGGAGAGAAATGCTGGGGGGCGGGGAGCTATGCGGATGGGGGATTGGGAGGCAGTGAGGGTTGGAGTTCCCTTTGTGGGGAGGGCAGTGCTCACAGAGGACCGAGGTCATGCTGTGCTGGGGTAGGGGGTTGGGGGTGGGGGACAGGGGAGCGGCGGGGAGGGCCAAGCAGAGGCGGAGGAGACAGCTCTGGCCAGGTGAGGCCTCAGGGTCAGGGGCAGGAGAGGGGCCGGCCCAGCAGGTGTGCTGTGGCAGAGCTGGAGGCTAACCATCCCCTGCCCAGGCAGCGTCCACCTGGGGTCACTGCTCCTCCGGCCCCACCCGGGCTGCGTCCATCTGGGGTCACTGCTCCGGCCCCGCCCGGGCAGCGCCCGCCTCCGGCACGAGGAGGCCGCCCTGGCACTGCCCACCACGTTCAGGCTTCGGACCCTCCAACCTTGCCCAGAGGAGGAGGGGTGGGGCCTGTGTCTCTATGAGGGAGGAAGCTCCCCCCAAACCCCCAGCCGACCCCTCCTGTGCCATTAGCCGGGTTTGTGTCACGTGTCCCACGCTCCAGCCAGCCAGCAGGCAGGGAGCTGCAGGCGGCTGCAGAAGCAAGGGAAGCCCTAACCAGTGTGGCTCAGTGGATAGAGCGTCGGCCTGCAGACTGAAGGGTCCCAGGTTCTATTCTGGTCCAAGGCACGTACCTTGGTTGTGGGCACATCCCCAGTAGGGTGTGTGCAGGAGGCAGCTGATCAATGATTCTCTCTCACTGATGTTTCTAACTGTCTAGCCCTCTCCCTTCCTCTCTGTAAAAAGTCAATAAAATATACTTAAAAGCAAGAAGCAAGGGAAGTGGGGAGGAAGGCAGTTTCCCCAGCAGGCGGTCCTGCGGGAAGGGAGAATGGAAGCATCCACGTTACCTAGGCAACCAGTGGCGTCTGCTACAGCTGTCCACCCTACATCCCAACTTTCCCTTGGGGAGTGGGCCAATGGTCAGCAGGCATGACTGTGGGGCCTTCTGGGAGGCTGTGGGGTGGGCCTGCCCCCAAATCACAACGCCCTCTGCACCCAAAGGGCCTGTGCAGCTTCCTGAGGTATACGCTAAACTCATTCATTAAAAACCTGCAGCGTCGCCCTGAGGACAAAGGTCCCGGGTTTGATTCCAGCCAAGAGCACCTGCCTGGACTATGGACTCGATCCCCAGTAGGAGGTTTGCAGGAGGCAGCTGATCAATGATTCTCTCATCAGTATTTCTCCCTCTTCCTTCCTCTCTGAAATCAATAAAGAAATATATATATTTTTAAAACTTTGTAGGCTATGACTTTTCCTCTGAGTACGTTTTTATCTAAACACAGAAACTTTTATGTGCTGGCCGGCTCGCTGAGCTGGTTAGAGGGTCCTCCCAATTCGCCAAGGTTGTGGTGTGGTCAGGGCATCCAACACGAGTCAACCATGAATGCATAAGTAAGCGGAACTACAAATAGAAGTTTCTCTCTCAATAAATAAACAATTTAAACATGTAGTGACTTTTCCAACTGACCTCATTAATGTTTGATGGTTTGGGTGTTGATTATAACTCAGAAGCTGATGAGGGGCGATTTAAAAAGTTTTCTCTCCCCAAGAAGATCTTAGCGATGACTTTCCCGGTGTCCTTCCGTGTGGGACACATGGTGGCGCCGCAGTGTTCACAGGAGCCACGTTGGCTACAGGATCCCTTAGAGCAAAACACGCCCCACGGCCTCACCGGTTTGGCTCAGTGGGTAGAGTGTCAGCTTGCGAACTGAAGGGTCCCAGGTTCGATTCCGGTGAAGGGCATGTACTTGGGTTGCGGGCACATCCCCAGTAGGGGGTGTGCAGGAGGCAGCTGATCGATATTTCTCTCTCTTCGATGTTTCTAACTCTCTATCTTTCTCTCTTCATCTCTGTAAAAAAAAAAACAATAGCTGAAACTGGTTTGGCTCAGTGGATAGAGCGTCGGCCTGCGGACTGAAGGGTCCTGGGTTCGATTCTGGTCAAGGGCATGTACCTTGGTTGAGGGCTCATCCCCAGTGGGGGTTGTGCGGGGGGCAGCTGATCGATCACTCTCGATGATTCTATCTCCCTTCCTCTCTGTAAAAAAATCAATAAATATATATATTTTAAAAATCAATTATATATATATATGTAAGCCTGAAGCTCAGCACCTCAGAGAGGCGATTAGAGCCAGGGATGGTGTCAGCTTCCCCGAAACCCCAGCGCACGGGGAGGGCAGCTACTGAGGGAGTTGGGGTGCTGCCACGTGTGCCAGTGGCCCAAGCCCCAACTCTTCCCTTATCCATGCCTTCCAGCACGGCTTTGTGTGCCCGCCCACTGGGGGCTAAGCAGTGTCACCCCCTGGTCACGTGCCCTGTTTTCACCGGATGGGATGCTGGCAGACACACCTGGCCGTGCCCTGGAAGGAGCTGAGAGCTCGGAGCAGGGCTGACCAGGCACGCCGCGCTGGGTCAGAGGACCCGCAGACGCAGGAGCAGGAGCCGGGCCGGGAGCGGGAGCGGGACTGGGAGCGGGGCCGGGGGGCGGGGCTGGGAGCAGGTTGGGGGCGGGGTGGGGCCAGGGGGGGGGGCCGGGGGAGCGGGGGCGGGGCCGGGGGGCGGGGCGGGGCGGGACCGGGGTCGGGGCGGGGCCGGAGCTGGGAGCGGGGTGACGGGGGCGGGGCAGGGCGGGGCTGGGAGCGGGGCCGGGGGGCGGGGCCGGGCCGGGGGCGTTGCCGGGGTGGGCCTGGGAGCGGGGCCGGGTGGGCGTGGGCGGGGCCAGGGGCGTGGGCGGGACAGGGGGCGGGGAGTGGGCGGGCTTGGGCGGGGCCGGGAGCAGGGGGCGTGGGCGGGGCCGGGCGTGGGCGGGGGCGGGGGCGGGGCGTGGGCGGGGCCGGGAGCGGGGGGGGGCGTGGGCGGGGCCGGTGGCGGGGCGGGAGCGGGGCTGGCAGCAGAAGCTGGGCTGGGAGCCACAGGTTCTGTGACTTTTCTTCCGGGGAGCAGCAGGTTTGGCGATGACAGACGCAGACTCCAGAAGAAATAGTCAGGAGGCTCCGGGCAGGGCAGCGATGGAATGTCCGCTGCCCTCCGTGTCAGAGGGAAGAGGCTCAGAGAAGTGACTTCTCCCCGGACACCGGCTGGTGGGTGTGGGTGGGATTTGATCCAGGCCTTCTGTCCCAGAGTCCCTCTGGGAAAGAACACAGGACCTCTGAGGCCAAGGTCACGGGTGTGACCAAGCCCCGGGCGGGGCGCCTGCGGCTCCTGCTGAGCCCGAGGCCGTCAGCTCCCCTCCAGCTTCTTCCTCTGACCCCACCCTGTGTTCCCACCAGATCTCTCAGGATGTGCGTGTGCGTGTGCGTGTGCGTGTGCGTGCCGTGCGTTTCCGTGACAAAGCACTCCTGTGTCACATTGACAGGCGGGCTTTCTCATCTGCGTGTAATGGATGAGAGAGAATAATTGATCAGCTACCTCTTGCACACCCCCTACTGGGGATGTGCCCGCAACCAAGGTACATGCCCTTGACCGGAATCGAACTTGGGACCTTTCAGTCCGTTGACTGATGTTCTATCCACTGAGCCAAACTGGTTTCGGCCTGCCTTTACGTTTTAGACTCCAAAGTCTTTGGAGGGATCTTTGCTCATCCTGAGCGCAGGGCCTGAGGCAGAGGGGGGGGTGGCCCTGGGCCAGAGGACAGGAGGGGCTCGCAGTCAGGCCCCGCCCTGCGGGGAGGGCAGCGGCAGGGTCAGGAGGCGGGCCGCGAGGCCCGTGTTCTGAGGAGTCACACGCAGGCGGCAAACGGACGTGGACGCGGCCCGGGAGCCGTGAGCAGGGCGCGGGCTGGTGCCGCTGTCCCCGCCACAGCCTCTTCCTTAGCCGCAGCGCTGTTCGGAGCTCCCGCTGGCCGCCGCCCTCCCCAGGCTGGCCTGTGAGTGAGGGCACCCGAGGGGAGGCAGAGGGGATAGAGGAGCAGGGAGGCCCTGCCTTCTTTGCCGGCACGTGGGGCCCGATGGGCCGGCCAGAACCGCACAGCCGTCCTGTGACCAGGAAGGGCCGGGGGGACCGGAGACGAGAGGGCACGGGGCCTGGATGACACGGAGCGGCCGAGGTAACCAGCTCCGGCCCTCCCAGAGTGTCCGAGAGGATCCTCCTTCTTACTTAAAGGCCGCCATTTCCTCGTACTCTGCCCAGCTCATGCAGCCGCAGGGACAGGCTTTCATCCCCGTCTTACAGATGGCGATGGTGAGACCCGGGGAGCTTGCCTAAGGACACTCGGCCAGGACGTGGGGCTGGATCTGACCGCTGTCTCAGGAGGAGAAACTTCCTGGAGGGGCAGGAGTGCTTTTCTAACGGGTGTGTGGCC